TTGAATTATGTAGATATACAAAAACTTTTATATCGAAACTCCTAAAACTTGATAATATCAGCCGTTTAAACGTTTAGAATTTTCAACCAAGTAGATACGAAAAAATTCGTGCATGGAAACTGCTAAAATTTGATGACATCATTCGTTTAAACGTTTAGAACTTTGAAGCATGCAGATTTGAAGAAATTTATGTATGAAAAATTCTAAAAATTCATTATCTCAGCCGTTTAAACGTTTAAAATTTTCAACGATGGAGACACGAAAAAATTCATATGTGAAAATTCCTAGAAATTCGTAACATCAGCCGCTTAAACGTTTAGAATTTTGAACTATGTAAATATAAAAAAATTTCGATATCGACACATCTAAAAATTATTGACATCAGGCGTTTAAACGTCTGAATTTTTGAAGCATGCAGATATGAAAAAATTCATATGTGAAAACTCCTAATAATTCATAATATCAAACGTTTAAACATGTAGAATCTTGAACTATGTAGATATACAAAAATTTCTATATCGAAACTCCTAAAAATTGTTGACATCGGACGTTTAAACGCTTAGAATTTTGAAGCATGCAGGTATGAAAAAATTCACATGTGAAAACTCCCAGAAATTCTTAATATCAACCGTTTAAACACGTAGAATTTTAAACTATGTAAATATCAAAAAATTTCTATATCAAAACTTCTAAAAATTATTGACATAAGTCATTTAAACGTTTAGAATTTTGAACCATATAGATATGAAAAAATTCATGTATGAAAACCCCTCGAAATTCTTTATGTCAGCCGTTTAAACGTTTACAATTTTGAACTATGTAAATATAAAAAAATTTCGATAACGACACTTCTAAAAATTATTGACATCAAGCGTTTAAACGTCTGGATTTTTAAGCATGTAGTTACGAAAACATTCATATATGAAAACTCCTAGAAATCCTTTATATGAGCCGTTTAAACGTTTAGAATTTTGAACTATGTAAATATAAAAAAATTTCTATATTGAAACTCCTAAAACTTATTAACATCAGGCATTTAAACGCTAAGTATTTTGAAGCATACAAATATGAGAAAATTCATGTATGAAAACACTTGAAAATTCATTATACAGCCGTTTAAACGTTTAAAATTTTGAACTATATAGATACGAAAAAATTCATACATGAAAATTGCTAGAAGTTGATGATGTCATTCGTTTAAATGTATAGAATTTCGAAGCATGCAGATATGAAAAAAATTCATGTATAAAAATTTCTAGAAATGCATTATATCAGCCGTTTAAACGCTTAAAATTTAGAACTATGTGGATACAAAAAAGTTTACATCTTGAAACACCTGGAAGTCAATGAAACTAGCCGTCTAAACGGTTACTATTTACTATAAAAAAGGTATCCGAAATATTTGATGCTGCACTATGTTGAAATACTGAAGCACCCACCGTTTAAATGCTTGAACTTTCTGAATAGTTAATCTAAAAAATATATGGAGAAAATAACGTCTAGAACTCTCAACTTTGAAGGATGAATGTCGTCAGTAATTATTGCAGAAATCCGAATGATAAAAGTGTTGGGGAAAACGCTCAAAAATCTCAACTTTTTGATGCGTGAAATGGGTTTTTGGACCCAATGGCCGTTTACACGATTACAAAGCAAGCTTTCGAGGTGTTAAAACGTCTACAAATATTCAATAGAAAAAAACTGTACGTTTTCACCGGTGGAATTTTAGAATTCTGAGTGTTTACACGGCCATCTTTTTTTTAACGCGTGTAAACGCTTGAAAAAGTCAGTTTTACGGTGTGTACACGCGTTTTTTCGAATTCTTGTCTGCTAGGGTAGCTTTCTCAACATCACTTCGATAATTAATAAAAAAAGAACTATTCGTTATTTGAACTTTCTCGAAAAATATGGGTGTGCGGTTGTGTGTATAAGCCAAGGGGGAAAAAGCTGATTCCGTGATTCCATTGATTCCACTGATTCTATTGATTCTATGTGATTCTATTGATACTATGTGATTCTATTGATTCCAGAATCTGTATGAATATCATAACCTCTGTCCACTATTATGTCGTCCCATTGGATTTTTCTCATCGCGGTTTCGGCCAATCAGATTTTTTCATGCCGCGGCTTTGGCCAGTCAGATTTTTTCATGCCACGGCTTTGGCCAATCAGATTTTTTCATGCCGCCGTTTTGGGCAATCAGATATTTTCTCGCGGCGACTTCGGCTAATCAGATTTTTTCATACCATGGCTTCGGCCAATCAGGTTCTTTCTCACGGCGGTCTCGGTCAATCAGGCTTTTTTCATACCGCGATTTCAGCCAATCAGGTTTCTTCTCACGACAGCTTCGGCTAATCAGACTTTTTTTATGCCACAATTTCTGCCAATCAGGTTTTTTCATGCAGCGATTTCGGCTAATCAGATGTTTTCACAGCGCGATTTCGGCCAATCAGGTTTTTTCACACTGTGATTTCGGCCAATCGGATATTTTCACATCGCAGCCTTGGTTAATCAGGTCTTTTCTCACGGCAGTTTCAGCCAATCAGATTTTTTCATGTTGCTGTTTCGGCCAATCAGGTTGATTCACAGCGTGGTTTCGATCAATCAGATTTTTTCATGCCGCAGCTTCGGCCAATCAGATTTTTTCTCACGATGGTTTCAGTCAATCAGGTGTTTGCACAGGAAACACCTGGTTGGCCAGAATTGCGACATGTAAAAACCTGATTGGCCAAATCTCCAGCATGAAAAAAATCTAATTGGCCGAAACCGCGGCATGAAAAAATCTGATTGGCCGAAATCGCAGCATAAAAAAATCTGATTGGCCGAAACCGAGACATGAATAAATCTCATTGGCCAAAGCTGCCGTGAGATAAAACCTAATTAACCGAAACCGCGGCGTGAAAGTATCCCATTGGCTGAAACCAGGGTGTGTAAAAACTTGATTGGCCGAAACCGCGCTGTAAAAACATCTGGTTGGCCGAAACCGCTACATGAAAAATCCTGATTGGCAGAAATCGCGGTACAAAAGAATCTGATTGGCCGAAGCTGTCATGAGAAGAAACCTGATTGGCCGAAACCGCGGTTTGAAAAAACTTGATTGACCGAGACCGCCATGAGAAACAACCTGATTGGCCGAAGCCGCAGTATGAAAAAAACCTGATTGGCCGAAGTCGCAGCGAGATAAAATCTGATTGGCCAAAGCCGCGCCATGAAAAGATGTGATTGGCCGAGACCGCGGCATAAAAAAACCTGATTGGCGAGTAGAAGCAGGCATTTTTTTACGTTTGATTCCATAAGATTCTATGTGATTCCGTAAGATTCTATGTGATTCTAAGTGATTCTGATTGATTCCGAGTGATTCCATTGATTCCGACTGATTCTATTGGTTCCAAATGATTCCAACTGATTCCGACCTCCAGAATCAGCTTTTTCCCCCTTGGTATAAGCCCTCTCTTCACCCACATCCACACCCTAACTATAACTAATGGTGAAATACATTGACAAGTTTGAAATAGTTAAATTTTCGTATTCAACTTTTGCATTATTTTCACAGTCAAAATAAAATGGAAAGATCGAATACGAAAATTTAAGTATTTCAATCTTGTCAATGTATTTTATTACTAGTTATAGCTAAAGAGATGAAAGTTTCAGATAGGTGATAAACATTTCAGCTATCTACATCAAGCAAAAGTGTGAAAAATATCATTAACAATTTATTGTCAGTCATCATGGGACACCTTTTAGAAGTAGAAAGTTAACTTTATTTTGCTTTTCTTCATTGAGTTATTTCGATTGTTGTCCATCATGTTATAAGAAAAATTGAATAAGTTAGTTTAGTTTAATTTTCTTTCTTCATTTAGTTATTCTGTTAGTTGTTGTCGAGCATTTTATTGCAAGAAAGTGAATCTGTTTGTTTTACTTCCCTGAATTAGTTTTGTCGATAATTGTCCTGCGTCTTGTGAGAGAAATAGAATGAGTCATTTTGGTTGACTTTTTTTTGTAGGTTTGGTTCTGCTCATATTTGTCGTGCATGTGACGGACATTATTGAATAAATTAGTTTACGTTTCTTTACTTTCTGTCATTTGCCTTCCTAATAGTTATTTAGCATTTTATGGACGAAAATAGAATAAGAGAACTCACTTTACTTTTCTTTTTCTTTGTTTGGTTATATAGTGATAGTTTTTCACCATGTTTTGAGAGAAATTAAATAACGTATTTTAAATTTCCTTTCTCTTGATTTAGTTCTGCTAATAGTTGTCCAATGTTTTATGAAAGAAACAAAAGGAAATAATTCACTTTTTTTTTCTAAGTTTAGCTGTGTTACTGCGCTTAAATAATGATTGAATGCTATCAGATTTTCACCTGCTTTAGCTCTTTGAGGATCGGTTAGATAACTCTATTGTACACATTGGGAAGTTCATAAAACAGAGGTTTTCGTTTACCGTTTCGGAAGCCCTCTTTAGGTCCATTATCATTTTGAACGTTTCTTTATTTTGCATCATATAGCCTTAGCACGATTGATGACCTCCATGAACCCTCTCAGATAACTTTTCATGAAATCTAGGTTGCATTGATGATCCCTATGAACTCTTCTCTATAACCTTTTGATAATCGATTTTAACGTTGTTAGAAAACGTTCAGAAAGTTTATGTGTCCTTAGAAATTATTTATTAAAGTACAAGGTACAGTAAACCTTTTCAGTTGATTTCGTCTCAGACTGTCAAACATATTCCAGTGAATATGAATCACGAGGACGAAACAGAATTTTCACAAACTCTTTACATCTTTCTTCATTATTTAGTAATATTCCTAATCTATTTGCACCTCTTCATGCCTTACTTCATTATTCGATAATTTTCAGTACCTACGTATTTATAGACATTGAACTCTCGTGGTTTTCTTCTTGTTTATGAAAATAGAATAGATGTTACCCAACTTTCTGATCCAAGGCAAAACTCCTCGTTGGAGTGTATCAAGTCAAAATCAACCTCGATTATCGATCATGTCGAAGCATTTTGATAATGAATATCATAATCAACAGCAAATTCAAATTATTAGTTCTGAGTTATCACAACCACTTTCGAATGTTGAAGGTAGTACCAATCGACGTCGACTAACGCAGATCATTTCTCTAGTTGATAATGATCAAGAAAATATTGTCGAACCGAAAGGTCGTTATCGCTTATTATTTATTGTTGAACCAATTCTCGTTGCTTGTCTTCTCTTTCCAATATTAGTTCTTTTCTGGGATTGTGGATGGAATCTTACTGTTACTATGCTTAATTCATTGAATGGCTTTCCATTGACGTATAATCTCGATGGAAAAGATTATACTGATGATGAATATGGTAATTATTCACCTCAATCATTAATTGTTTCTTATGTTATCGTAGAAATTTTACTACTCATTTTGTATCTTGGTCAAGATCTATTTTACGATTTCCTCAAACGACAACATACTCTTATCAAGATGATTCTTTTGGAAATTCATATATTAATTTTGTCATCCTTGTATATTGTTCAATGGGAAATGATCTGGACTATTTTGGATCAATATACTCCTCAAGAATGGACATTTATTATGGTTCTATCGTTGGCATCACTCTTCGTATTGATCGTTATTACTGGAACTTTGTCGGATATGGTTTGTTCGCCATTTGTTGTCAGTTTTGATTCGATTGAATATTGTATTAGATTTGAATGTCCTCTTGTGATAGGATATGTAAGTATTTTCTTGTCAAAAAAAAAACAAACAAATTGATATATGATTTTCAAAGATGGATCGATGGAAAATCAATTTGATCAATTTTATGTTGTACGAACTCATCATTTCTAACATTACAATCATTGGATGGCATGGTTTTTATCTTATTCTCGATCAATATTTGTATCCTGATGATACGATTAAATCGGCTTGGATCTGTTTATTGATTGGTTACCCTCTTTATTTTCCACTTATGTATTGTCAACATTACTTCAAGAATTTCAATTTGAAATATGAATTTTGGACATTCTTTTCGACCAATTTTCCCCAATTCCATCGAAACATTTTTCATGGGTTGGCTTTTGTTTCATGTCTATTTCTTTGGCGTGGCTTTTGGATTCTGTATGATTTTTATCTCAAAGTTTTCGAAAAATATTATGAGACATATTTGTTAATATCTTTGCTCTCATTTGGATTCTTATCATTAATACAAACGTTTTCATCGATGAATGGTCCATTGAGTGCTATGGAAGACAATTATCGTTTCTTTCCTGTCTATCCACATTGCTATATTTCAAAATTTGTTTACAAGTTCTCTCAACTGTCATGTTTTCAATTGAAGAAGACAACTAAAACTACCAGAGTTTTTTCTACTGAAAATTAAGAAAATTAAAAAAAAAACAAAAAACAAAAATATGATCGTAAAAGACATCAATTATCACGCTTGATCTTCGCTATAAAAGCCATGTAGAATTGTTTTTATATAGAGACACAAATCAAACACATATTTATATATATACAGTTTCATCTTACCAACGCAATATATGCAGCTACAAATGTGTAATTAAATCGTTACAATAATTGATAATTTTCCGCTATTTAAATGGTTATTCATAATAATAATAAAAAAAAAGATGTCCGAAATTTCGCATTTTGACATGAGCTTTTTTCGTATGCTTCAACTTCACTAAGACAATTTTGAGAAAAACATTTCTTTATGTTTTCCGTAAAAATGCATTAAAATTTCTTAGAGTATTGCTTTATTCAACTGTTTAAAAATGAACAGTTTCAATCAAAATAATATTACGATTAAAACTAGTGAAGGGTGTATGGGTGTGGGGTTGTGCGTGTAAGTTCCTTCTTCACCCACACCCTATTATATTTCAATTGATGACAAATAAAGAAATCAGTTAAAAATATCAATAACTCAAATTCCAGAATACATGTAAATGATCTTCTTGAAGGTGTAAGTGTCTCGAATGATGAAACGAAACCTTAACTAATATACATAATTTTCCTTTTTCCTATTTCAAATGTTGAACTTGAACATAAATATATATATAATTTTCCTCTCTTTTTCTATGAAAAAACGTTGAATCTTAATCACACGTCGTCTCCGATTGACATTATAACTTGCAGCTTACAAGTGACATCACGCATTATCTATCCGCTTGACAAAGAAATAGTAATTCGAAAGGTCTCGCGTTAATAAAACTTAATTAATTAATTAATTAAATTATTCATTGATTTATTCTCTTTTTTTTTCTTGATTGTTGTTTCTATTCTTCATATTCTTGTTTTCATTAAAAATATCAAAAAAAAAGAAAAATTAAATATTTGCAAAAAAAACCAATACATGTTAATTTGTCAAATTCAAAGAACATTCTTAGAGTCAAGGAAAAATGCTTTCTGAAATGCGTTAAGCGTCACATAAATGCATTTACGTAGAAAGAAATAAAATATATACAAAATTGAAATTTTTTATCTGTTGCTACCGTCACAAACAGAACGGAAACAGACATAGAGAGAAAGGATTATTTTTTTCTCATCATGAGAAGATTTTCTAGTGGAAATAGATTTTCTCCAGCAGCAATGTAATTAATTCAATGACAATTTCTCTATCAATTTCTACCTTCACAAACAGAAGTCAAAGATTTCAAGAAATATCCAACATATTTCTTTCTCACTATTGAATTTCGATGCATGTTAGTATGTAAAGTTCAGAATAACGATGAGACAACGAAGATGAGGAGGAGAGTCAGGCAGAAAATGACGATGAGTGTGTGGATGATGTGAGAGTGAGCGTGCGTGCTGTGTAGGAAATATGAGGAAAATGAGTGACAATGACGAGTGAATATAATACGCTCTTCCATACAGAAGCATCAATTGTTACCGACTTGAACGCACATCTTCAATCTTACTCCAGTACAATATCCTTTGGCTACACTATCAATCACACCTTAACTCACAAAAGTATACGCTCATTCACTCACATAGGCAACCACATCCTTTTGTGAGTTCCATGAATTTCATAGTGTCTATTGGTTTCTTGAGTTCCTTAGGTTCCATGTCTTTGACATGAGTTAGGCTTTCGACAGTTTCTCAGAAGTTCAAAACTGCCACAATTTGAACGAATCTAGCAAATATCATTCTGACACTTTCAAAGATCTTACTGGATTCACTCAGTCTGACAATCTATGAGAAACTAATTTTGTTTTCTTAGAAAACTATAATTCGAATATACAGCATAAGATCATTTTAACAAATGATCTTCATAACCTAATAACAATCCATGAAGACAAAGTAAGTTATGTGTGTGGTACTTGGATTTTAAGTTGAATTGCAAAAATTTGAGAATTTAGAATATACTAATTTAACTGCTCTATTCAAACGTTTATCGATTGTGAGTTTCTGTGATGAAAAACAGTCATGGAAGCCGAAGCCCTAAACGAGAAGGATTTCGATCATTGCCTCATCTCTTCTTGACTTTAAATCTTATTTTCTACTCTCACTTCGCTCTGCTCTAAGAAAAATTTCCTTGAAATCAAAGCCCTGACTCCGATTCGATGTTCTATTTACGCTTTCAACATCGATGTCTATATATACAACAAGAAAGACGATAAGAAATTGCAAAAATGATTCCTAACGAAAAAACTAAGGGATAGCCTATAAAGAAGTGTACGGTTCATATTTCCAGAATTCTTCCTCTTTCTTCCACTTACTCGAGACCAGAATTTCTAGATCAAAAAGTTATAAATCAGAATTTTTTCAATGAAAATTCAAAAAAACTCTGAAAGTAATTATAGTTATTTGACGCATTAATATATATAATATTGTCTTTTTTTTTATTGAAATATAGTTTTCTCTATGAATGTTTTAAGTGAAAAAGTTTACTGATTCAGTTTAACTTATAACAATTCTCATTTGAAGAAGCGTCTTCTTAAACTTAAAACTCAATTCATGTTGAGAAATTGTTTATGCGAATGGCTTGTTTTAACAATACCGTCTATTCAGTTTAGTTCAGTGAGACTTTAGATGCGATCGAGTGTGTATTGCTAGTAGTCGCTTAATTATGTACTATATTATGATTATAGCAGAACACAACGAAGTCCATTGATTACTGAAAAGAGTTAGTTTAGAGGTAATAATCAAAATTTATAAACGCTTGACTTTAGAAAAATATCAGAACTCAGAAGAAAATATCTCAATTCGGAAGATCTGGCAATCTTGTAGTAAATCCTTTGTTATTTTTTTTTTAGTTTTAGTGAATACTGTTCTGATAAACCGTAGATATTTTTCCAGTAGTTCAGGCAATTATTATTAGAACAAAGTAACAGAGAGTATCCTATGTTGATCTGTGCATTTTTTCTGTTATATTAAATGAACATTTTAACAAAAAGTCTTGTATTTTTTGTATGAATAACCTTTTTCAGAAAAAAAGTTAGATATCAATTACTCTTCTATTCTTTTGCAATATGTCATCGTCTAATACGAGTATGATTGAGGCAATCAATGCTATGAAACAAACTACATCTAGATTTACTCAAATATGGTTTTCCTGCATGTTTATTTTTGGTTTAATTGGTCATTCATTGAGTATCTATGTTTTTACACGTCGTCAATTTCGTTCAAATCCATGTACGCGTTACTTTTTGGCATCAACTATATCTGGTTGTACTGTTGTATACTTAACTATTCCATTTCGACTGCTTCAAATTGTATATAATATTGATATATTTATACATTCACATGCAGGATGTCGAATTTTGTCATATCTTTTCAATTGTTTCAGGTAATATATATTTAAATGGAAGATAACCAAGAGTGAATACTATTTTTTTTGGTCGTTTAGGATACTACCATCTTGGTTTATTGCTCTAGCTTCTATTGATCGGTGAGTATTAGTTAGAAGCAAAATACTTAATAGAGCCGAAATTTTCGATTGATTAAGTCTTTTGTTAATCTATTTTTCGATAGTTAATATCATGCTCTAACAACAATGAGGATTCAGGGTCGTAACTAAGGGATATTTCGTCGTGTGTGTAACAACGTATGTTTCCAAAAAATTATAATGATTATTTGTGTTACACTTTTTCTACTTTTGAAATTTACTATCAATCATTGGAAATATATAGACTAAATTGACATTGTGTTCTCTGGCGTTTTTTTACGATCTATGTTATGGCCCAGCAATGATTAGAATGACACTGATAACATATATATTCGAAGACTAATGTGCACTAAAAAAAAATGTCGTGATTGTTGACCTCCGAAAAGTCATAATTCAGTAACTTAAGACGACAAAGAGCTGAAATTTAGACTGAAAGTAAATATACAGAAGTTCCAATTTCACTAAGATTTTCATTTCATCTGATCGAACTGTAACCTCCGATTTGAACAAAATCTATTCATTTGTGTTTATGATTCAGACAATAAACTTTACGATGATCAAACATTTTCTTTGAAATATTTTTCTGCAAAGTGTTATCGTCAAAACATTACGATAACGCATTCAGCGATTTTTACATCTTTGACTACAATACTGAGTAATCCATTCGTGTCAAATCGCAGCTGAATCTTCAGCGATCTCACTATTATTTCTATTTTTTTCATGATAAAAGATAATGAAAATCTTTCTCCGAAGTTTTTGTATAAAAAGTACTAAATTTTAGTCGGCTACGATCATTTAGTTTCATTGTTATTCGAAATAATTGATATCTATCAATAGAGAACATACGAAAACCTAGAAAAAACTTTTTAAATGAATAAATTCGGTAGCTTTTTGTCAAAGAAATCTTTCTTTAAACTTTAGTCAAGT